TGAAGTTTAGTCCCAGACAAAGCCCCAATCATCCCAGGGAGCCGGAAGTACTCGACTATATACGTCTTATGACGCCCCGGCAAAAGGCACAAAAAAGGAAGGAGGCTGGCAAGGACAAAAACAGGACATGTGTTTGCATCAGCCTACGACTGTTTCCCAAAGTGTTACTGTTATTGCCACCAGGGGGGAGGGGCATGAAACGCCTGCCACATGGCTTTCAAAGAAAAACCAGGGACTTTTGTCCTTCAGATCTTCAAGGACTTGGACTTCTTAAATGCCAATAATGGAAGTATTCTAAGGATAGAGGTGGTGGTCCTGAGTAAGAAGTCCTTTTTAAAAATATATGTATATCTGACTTCTCGATTATTTTTTTTTTCGTGCAGATCGCCTCGCTTTATCCTTGTTTGCTCAGCGCTCCAGCACAGTCAGATTTTATGAGCTCCGAGGACGAGGACGAGTCCGTGCTGTCCTGCTCCGAGTCCTGCTCCTGGCCAGAGTTCAATTAATTGCTCGTCCCGGCCACGCAGCTGCCTTGTAAAGGCCCTGTAAACACTCTCCCATGTGCGTGCGTGTGTGTTTGAGTTTGTGTTTGTGTTTGGCCATGTCTGGAGCCTGTGTATCCTGGCGCTGGCCATGTTGTGTGCCCTCCTGCCAGTGTGCCAGGCGGGGTGTGGGTGTGGGTGTGGGTGTGGGCCAAAACGCTTAACACTCAACTGAGCACAAAGCCCGAAAAGTTGATGAAGCGTCAGCAGATGGCGGGAGCGTGGGTGGGTCCGGTGGTCCGAGAGGCGCCCCAGGACTGTAATCGGTTTAATGGACATTTCACATGAGTCCTTTTCCCACAAAACTGGAGTCACCAGTTTTTTGCGGCTGAACCGGCCAGTTTTCGAGGAGATCTGGTGGCGAGTAATTTTTGCAATATAATTACTTGGAAGTGAATCAAATTTCGGTCCGGAGAGTGTGGCAGGAAGTGGCTAGGACTCTGCCCATTGGCCTCGCAAGGAGGCAGGAGGAAACACCAGGACTGGGGCTTAAATGAAGTGAAATGAAAGAAATCGGCTTAGCTTAAGTCACCACACATGGTGGTGACTCTTCCGCATCGTTTTCCGCCGCTTATTTATTTCCTTCTCGCCGCCGCCCATCTGTGTGGCAAATTGATTTCTCGGTGGCATTAAATGCCTGCCTTGCCACACATTGTGGCAGCCATAAAGCGCAGAAACAGACGGAGCAGCAAATCAAAGGCATAAAAAGAGGGAAACAACAGGTTGGCCGGCCCACAAAAACACCAGGCCAGCGCGGGCCTCGTAAATATACAGAATACATATATTAGAGAAATTCCGTGTCCTTCTTAGCCTTATGGAGAGGGGAGGACTAAGGACACTCTCGCCTTTCACACTTCCGGCCCTGTTGCTTCGGCCTTATGGTTTCCGATTTCCATTTCGGAAGAACAAGGCGGCTTTATGTCCTGTTCGTCCTGTTCCTGGACATGGAACATATTCCATAAATGTGTATCCCCGTTTTATTTGTCTATTATTGACACTCGTCCTGGCCAAGGACTCTTTCCCAAATCCAATTCCAACTCGGATACATTCCTTAAAGCCTCGAGGCCTGGGTATTCTGGGGGCCAACAGGTGACGGGACGAAAGGGGGCCATTTCGTCCTGAGACCATAAGTAGGACGAAAATGGCTCTGTCGGTTTATTAAACATATTCCGTGGCACTTTTTAATGCAAAATCCTGAATCCTGCGGACTTTTCCCATCGAGTTGGCACAACAAAAAGGTAAAGTTGACATTATAGAGGACTTTTTTGTTTCCCAAATTTGATGGCAAAGCGTGTCTGTGTTGGTTTTTGTGTGGCCCCGCTCTTTGTTATATATTTATCGTATTTTGAAACAATTTTTGTTGTTCTTTCGGGGGGGAATATGTTGCAATTTCAGCATCATAAAAATGCAAATGTCCTGCCGTGTGTGTGTGTGTTTGGAGCAGGAGCGGGAGGAAGGCGGGAGACGGGGCGCATTAAGCCGATTTAAATGGGAAGCTTTGGAAATTCGGCATTTTCCCAGAGCCAGCTCTCATCCCCCGCCATCCGGCCGTGTTTTCTGGGGCGTGCGGAGCTCCGGAGCATTAGCTAAGCTTATGTTTAAATATTCCATGACATCGATGAATAGTTTAGGTCGAGGGTTAAGGATGTTTCTACGAAAATGGGGCTTATAGCAGATGGAAAATGGAACTCCATGTTCGAGATATCGAAGTTTTCTTAACCTCTATATCCAGTCGAAAGTCGACTTCAATGTCACATCCATCCTACGCACACGTAACAGTTTCGTTTGTTATTTTATTGACAAAACATCCAAGCCAAGCCACTGTCTGCCGAGTTGGCGACTGCCACCGACATATATTACGCATACGACCCGTGGCGCAGCAGCAGAAAGTTTCCTCCGTTCGACGTCAGCGGAACGGATAACTTTTGCATTTTCCGACTTTCCATTTAAATGTGCTTTTAAGGACCGCACATTGCTACGGTTGCGGACATTTTAATTAGACTTTAGTGGCTTTTGTGGTCGCCATTGTTGTCTTGCCGCCAACTATGCACCAAATAAATTTCAATGACAAATACCCCCGCATGCTCCCATGCATGGAGGCTTTCTATAAAGTATAGCATACTATTCGGAGTCCGCTCACTCCATTCAATCGAATAACCAAAGCGCATAAACCAAACGGGCTATCTGGGCACCCCTTTAATTACAAAACTCTGGCCAGAATTCAGGTCTAATCGGTTTAATTATTTCATTTAGTTTTTCCCGCCAAAGGCGCCTCCTGGCCTCTGCTCCCTGCTCCACGGCTCCACGGCTGTACGGCTTTGTGCACTTTCCGGGCTGCTTTTAAAAAGGAAAACTAGAAAAATGTTTCACGGACAAATTGGCCAGTTGAATGGACAAATAGATCGCTGGATAATTATGCTAAAAGTTGTGAGCGCCAAAGGTGCAAAGAGCGGGCTGAAAATCAACAGGCCATAATGGGTTAATTAAGGCAGGAAGGCAGGCTCCGCTCCCCTGGCTGCTGGAGCTGCTGCTGCTGAATCATCTGTCCGGTGTCCACCTGTTAGCTATCCGCCTGTCCAGCCTGTCTATTAATTAGCCCAAAGTGGATAGAGGAAATTGCCGGACCGAGCCGGGGCTTGGTGCTGGGGACTGGGGGGCAAGGGTTGAGCGAGGGCTGTGCTGCTAAAATATGCAGCATGCTTATTACGAGCATAATAATTAAACTCTAGAGTGCCACAAAATTCAAATATGCACCAGCCGAGGAGAGGGGCAAGTGGCAGGACGAGGGCGAGGGCGACGGGGCCCCACCCTAAGTGGGGTCAGTTTGTTTACGCGATGCCGTATGACATTCAGGCACGTCCCGGGCGGGGGTACGTGTGTTTGGCTCAGTGTTTGGCATGGATTTGCGCTGTTTGTCTAGCCGGCTCAGAAGAAAAACAAGCAAAGTCAGTGGAGGACGGAGGACGGGCTCTCCGGCTCCGTCTCCGAGCCCCGCCCAGGAGCTGGGTCTGCGTGCAAATTAATGCGACATTTATTCATTATGGCATGGAACAGTCGCTGCCGGAGCGGAGGATCTGGCGGGACAGGGGGATGGCATTACAGATGAAGCAACCATCCACTCGACAGCCGGGCAACAATGGCGATGACACACTAAGGCACAGTGGAACCGACACTGGGAATCAGGTCTCCAATTACAGGATTTCAAGGATAATGAGAAATATCCAGATCTAGGATATCCATCAGACCCACTGTGCCTTCACGACAACCTCAATGGAACGCCCACTTGAGCGGACCCCCAGCTCTGTTTCTGTCCTTGTCTCTGCCCCCCTCTTTCCGTCTCTGTCTCTGTGTCTGTCCCCCACTCCTGGTCCTGCTCCTGCTCCATAACGTGTCGCCGCAGAGCGTCGAGGGACATAAAAAGCATTTGCGTGATTTTATTTCGCATTTTCTGTTGCTCTTCAGCTCGACTTTGCTTTTCAGTGTCCTGGGTGTGGCTGTGACGGGGGGCAGGTCCTTCAGGGCGGGGAGGAGGAACAGGAGCCGGAGTAGGCCGTCTCTGTCTCCCGAGATTGGCCGTATTCCTGGCCTGGTGTTTGCAGAGCTTGTGTTAATTTAATCACAGTAAAAAGAATTTAATTAGTCGGGGCCCACACACAAAAAACAAGCGGCCTTAATAAAAGGCGTGCTGAATAATATTTCCATAACTCTGCCCCCTCTGACCTCTGACCTCGGTGGGGAGTAGCAGCTGGCCTGGCCAAATTATTAACTTGACTGGATTCCGTCGCCAGGTGTGGACAATGGCCGGGAAGCAGGACGGAAGCCGCTCTTCCGGCCAGCCAAGAGACAGTGGCCTGCCAGTGCACTGCCAGAATAAAAGGACTCGTTGGTGGTCCTCGAAATACTTCACATACTTTCGGTGTCCTTGCCCGATGGATGGAAAATTTCACTCGCAATTTGTGATGTCTTTTATCGCCCATCTGCCCACAAGAAGTACATACACACACGCAGTCCATTTTATTTTTATAGAGACAGACACTGGCAGACTTTCGTCCTGGAATGGCAATTCAGTCAATGACAGGACATAAAGGAGCCACCACTGCCACAAAAATATTTTCGTCTATTCAGGCATGAGTAAAAACCTATTTTGTTCAGGTCAGGTGCATGCAGGGGATCTACATATCCACACACCCACACCCACACCTGGGCCAGGACTCAGGAGTGGAAGAGTGGAAGTCAATTCAAGAAGCTTACTTTTATTTAAGGCAAAAGGCAAAAAGGACACCCACACTCACACCGCATTCTTTGCCCTTTCATGCTCTTGAGTTTCTGTAGCTGCTCTGACCTTTCTGTTTTATTTTCCATACACGGGGGGATCTGTCCGTCCCCGTCTCCGTCCCCGTCGCAGTGTCCTTTTTCGTGTCCCACCCCGTCACTCATCTCGTTCCCCATTTTTTTCAGATTTCAATTTGCAAGAGGAGGCCTCCATTCCGGAGGACATATTTGACCAGCACGACGGTGACATTGAAGACGAGGATGCCGGCGTCTCCCCCCAGCTGCAGTATCCCTCGGCTCCCCTGCGACCCATCCAGATCCAGAACCAGAACGAGGATCAGGACCCAGACGAGAAGGAGATCCCCGCGCAGGAAGATCAGGAGCCAGACGCGTCCGAGGACGATGCCTCCGAGGCAGCCGATATTGTGAGTACACCTCTCTACTATTAGGTCGTGGGGGGAACTGGATATTTTTTCAAGTGTAGGCACATCGAAGCACAAGTGCCTTCGTATATAGATTCTTTATGGAGTGGCCGGGCCTACATTCAAGTCCGTGCCGAATGAGGTCAGTTCTATTGAACCGAAAGGAGGTTGCTGCGCCCCTCCACCATTGACCCCCCCAAACCACAGCCCCCGCAGGCTGGCCCGAAGGATGTCCATTGAAATGTCGCACAATGCTGGCGGGCAAGTCAAATTACTTTTCAGGCAAAGAAAGAGCCTACGAGGTCCTGCATTGAAGCTCACTTGAGCAAGAAACGAGACCGAACCGAGAAGAGCCGGCCACTCGAATCCAGTTTAGAAACCCACAATTTAACACAAAACAGCCATGGAATAAATGCTGGGAAATATAAAATAAAGCATCCGTGCTGCCAACCTGCCAACCAGCCAAGCTTCCATGCCCCCTCTCCCACTGGCTTAATCAAAGATTTTGCAGACACTTGAGTTGCAGCTGCTGAGAACTGGAAATAAAACTTTCATTTTATTGTCAAAACTACACATGAGCCCGCCCCACACCTCAGGTCCTTGCAGCGAGGTCCTTGCGAGGAAGGAAAAGAGTTCTCGAGTCTTTGGCTCGGATTTTATTTGACTCTCAGAACCATGCACTTGTGCACTGAAAGAATATCATAGGAAGCAGGACTTTTATGATAGTTATGCTTTAGTTTTTAAATCCTTATGGTATCCTTATGTTATACAACTATCTAATACCCGAATCTAATGCTTTAATGCACTTACAGATACTCGAATCTCAGAGGCCCACCACGAGGAATCTCAGTGCCTACCTGGACGCTAAGAAGCACCCAAACAACAATGGCAGCAAGCGCTCCAAGGATAAGGACTGGGCTAGGGATAAGGACAAGGGCAGGAAGAACAATTTAAGCCACTACAACTACAAATTGAAAAACAATAAAGACCGAGTTGCCAATGAGGAGGCTCCTCCCCCAAGGAAAGCCAATGCCGGGGATGGGGATGGGGATGGGGATTTTCCAACAAAATTCGCATCCTCCTCATCCGTGGAGGACCAGGAGGATAGCGCGAACTTTGGCAGGCAAAGTTTTTCGTATAAAAAATTAAAGAACATGCACGAACAGCAAAATCAACAGAAGGAGCCTCCCAAGGATGGCAAGGAGTCGAGGGAGCAGGACCCGTCGTCGCCGCAGCTGCTTGATTCTATTGAAATATTAAAGGAACGAAAATTTAATAAACCCATCGGGGCGGAGCAGGTGAAGACAGGTGAGACGGCCATTGGCGATATCGAGGACAATCTGGATAATGATGAGGAATCGGACCAGCAGCAGGAGGAGCAGGAGCAGGAGGACGAGGACGAGGAGGAGGAGGAGGGCATCAAGTCGTCCATTGACAATGATGAATTGGCCAAGAGATACTATCCGCCGACAACCACGACGGAGCCAACAACTTTGCCCACAACCACCTCCACCACCAGCACCACAACAGCAAGGACAACCACCACAAGCAGCACAACTACTCCGAGGACAACCACAACTTTCCGAACTTCAAGGACTCCCCAACAGCAGCCAACAATTGGCCGCAAACTGAAGCGCCATGGAAATGCTTTTGGCCCAAAGAAGCCTCAGAGCCCGGAAAATAGATATTATGAAATTGCCAGGATCAAGGAGCAGCAGCAGCAGGAGCAGGAGGATGCAGGTAACGTGGGCGAACTGCACTATTACGATACCGGGAGCAACTACAACCAAAAGCTGGCCACATACGATCCGGAAAAGTCCGAGGAAAATTACTTGAGTGGCCAGCAGCCCAGACGGAATGCCACCGACAGGCGGGGAGCGTCCTCCTCCTCCTCCTCCGCCTCCCGCTTCCTGGACGACGAGTACTCCGAGCCCCAACCGCCGCCGGAGGAGCAGAGGCAGTGGCAGAGTCCGGCAGAGAAGCCAGACGAGAGGGACGAGAATTCGGATGGCTTCGGAGCCGGCAAATTGGAATCCGATTTGGATTCTGGACAGCAGCGATATCACTCGGGTAAGTCCAAGGACTCGGCAAGAAACTAACACAAAAATAAATATAAAATTGTGAAATAAACACCGAGACCAAGGACGTGGCACAGTGGGTTGTAGCTTCAAGGAAGGAATATAAAAGATCCTTGCCTTTCAAAGATCCTAAGGATAACCTACGTCCAAAAGTAACTCAAAAACGCACTCACCCCAGTTGTCCTTTGATTAGTTTCCCTGTTCCGCATTCCAGTATCCTTTGGCCAACTTCCTGGGTCAATAGCTTCTCTTGATTGGAATTTCCGCTGTCCGTTCTGGCCAGCTTCCATTCCACTGTGCCGCATTCCACTCGCAGGTCCTGCCAGCTGCCTCTCTGCCAGAGATCCCGTCAAAGTCAGAACCATGTGTGTGCGGTCGGGTGTTTGCCGTAAATTGAAAATATGTGCAGGAAATCCCCAAAGCATTTTCCAGCGGAGACCCTTCGGAGGAGGAGGAGAAGACAGTGAGGCAGATGGAGCAAGATAGTTTGCGAAATTCCGCAAATTCAATTCTTAAAGCCGACAGTGCCGAATTTTTTAGCCGATAGCATCGTTCTTTAGTCCCCAATTTATGCAAATGTTTCAATTCCTGGCCAAGGAAGTCAAACGGAAGAAGTCCTGCTCCCACTCCCCGGTGGCCTCTCCCCAATCCCCCCCTCTCCCCATTTCTTTCCTGTTGCCATTAAACAATAAAGCCCGCAAAATAGCAAAATATTGTGTATATGTACGACTTAGGATTCCCAGACAGCGGAAGCAACAAAATCTCCTCGAAATGAACTGCTCCGAAGGGGGGTGGCGGACGTGGGAGGGGCGGGGGCGGGCGGACGTGCCAGGACTAAAATTGAAAGCCCAACCGAGGGTCGCCGCAGCAGTTGCTCTGCAAGTCATCCAGCATCGTTTTATGACTGGCCGCGCCTCCCTCGCTGCCACAAATCAAAATGAAATGAATTTGTGTTGGGATTGGGGATTTGGTGCGGTTTGTAAGGATCTCAGGATCCACCACTGAGGAGGGTCCACCAGGGAGGGGGGGGTGAAAAGACGGCGCTTCTAGAAACATTAAGTACCCTGGAAGACAAATACTTTTTGAAATGCACGAACTTCTCTCAGGATTGTCTCCAAAGGCGGAGGTGTCTGGCAAGTCCTTTACCAGCAAGGACATACCTTACAGACCTCCCAGTTCAATGGGCATCTCTAGATGTCCGCCAGGCTAATAGAAATCTATTACTTCCGAGCCCCGGAGCAGCGTGCGGTGACTAACAAAGACTCTCCCCCTTTTCTGTATCTTTCCAGGCTCCTTGGCACCAGCCACGCCCACCCCTGCTAGCGCCTTCGAGCGGTTTAAGGCGCTGCGTCGCAGCCGCCAGCGGACAGGACACAAGAGCCACAAGAAGCGGTACAAGGACTACCTGAAGTGGCAGGACCCGGTGGCCTCCACGCCCGGAACACTGTCGTCACGACATCTCCAGAAGCTCCAAAAGGAAAAGGACATGGAGCGGGAGAGGGAAAGGCTGCAGGCAAAGGATAAGGAGGAGCAGCGACCTCTGGGCCACTCCCCGCCCATCTTCGCCCTGGGCCTGCGGCCGGCGAAGCCCTTCTACGAGGGCCAGGTGAGCTACTACGACAAGCAGGAGCCGGTCCAGTACCTGGAGCAGGATCAGCAGGACCTGGAGCACCGCACGGAGATGGAGCGGCTGATAGCCCACGACAATGGCAACTGGTATCGCAGGATCAGCCCGGTCCTGCGGAACGGCGTCAAGAGCGGTGTGGAGCTGAAGCACCACCACCATCGGGGTCACCATTCGGGCCACCACCAGGGCCACCACTTGAGCCATCACCAACTGCAGAACCACCACCACCATCATGACCACCACCAGGGTAACCACAAAACCAACCACTTCCGCTCGCGACCCAGTAGCCCCTACCAGAGGAAGCCCCCGGCCCAGAACTCCATGGGAGTAGCTCTCTCCGCACCCGCCCCTCTGCCAGGAGCCCCATCTGTGCCTGGACCACAGCCAACGCCCACTCCGCCTCTGCCGCCGCCGAAACAGGAACTGGGCCACCAGATCACCGAACTGGAGCACCTAGAACGCTACTACGCCAAGTGGCCGCACCTAGCCCGGGTGCAGTTCCAGGTCTACGACGAGCACTACCGCGAGGCCCACCCGGAGCTGTACGAGGACTACGAGGACGCCGACTACGAGAGCGCCGCCGAGCTGGAGGAGGCCCAGCAGGAGAGGGGCGAGGAGGCCAACCTGCCGCCGTACATCAAGAAGTACAACCGGCGGAACAAGCAGCTCCTGAACCTGCTCGAGGGAACCCTGCCCACGCCCACTGCCTTCCCGCCGGCTGGCCTGGCCGGCAGTCCCCCGCCCCCGCACCTGGACGACGAGTACTTGCAGGAGAAGCGGCGTCGCTACCACCAGCACCACTTCGAGGACCTGTTCGCGCAGCAGAAGAGTGCCGCCGGGCACAAGGACAGCAAGGACCTTGCGGAGGAGGCGGGAGTAACCACTCCGTTCAGCAATCACTTGCCGGAGGACTCCCCGGAAGGCGAGTCCCCGGCCCTGCAGCAGCCGAAGGCCTCGGACTTCTGGCCCGGAAAGGTGCAGGTGGTGGTGGCCCCGACCTCCACCCCGAAGCCGGCTCTCTTCAAGCTGCCCTCGTACCCGGCCATAGCGGGAAGCTTCCTGGGAACACCGCGCAGTCGCAGCGCCCAGTTTGTGGCCAATGTGGCAGGCAGGGGTCAGAGTAGCTGGGCCCAAAACTCGACAGGATCGGCAGGCGCGGCTGGAGCGGCCGGCGGGGGAGTGGGAGCAGCCGTAGCCGCTGGATCTCCGCCGAGGGGAGCTCCCTCGCCGCTCAACTCCTTCGTTTACCATCGCGTGGTGGATAGTCCTGGCAACGCTAATGGCGTCCCGCCCGTTTCCGGGCTGGTCGGCAGCGGAATCGGCCGCCGACAGTCGCGACTTCCGTTCGTGGCCATCACGGACCGCCGGATGGAGTCCTTGACCGGCAAGAGGTCCTTGGCAGAGCGACACAAAGACTTTCAGCAGAATCACTTTCCGATGCCTTAGGTTGCGAGAGAGGGACGTCCTTCGAAGGAGGAGAAAAGCAGGAAGGAGAAAGTAACGAAGAGTCGAAGGGCAGGGTTGGAAAACCAGAAGCAGGGTGACTTTGCATTCAAGAAGAATTAGGTTCACGTCTCCCGAAACTCGTATCCTTGTGTTTTCCCCCAAAAACGTAGCTGAAAAGTTTAGACTGATATCGAAGTGTTTTCGAAGTCCCTGTTTTTTCGAAACTCCAGTCCACAATAAACCGATGCCAGCCAGCTTTTAACTAACAATCGAATCAATCGAATTAATCGAAGAAATCGAAGCAATCGATACCGGAATTAAGGCCCGTTTCCAGCCCTGTGCTTCGAACTCAAGAAGTCTTAACATAAATCTAGAACTATATTGTAGTCGCCGCTTTCGGATGTATAATTTTTTGGTGTTTTATGTTTACAAGAAAACGAAAGGACGATGGAGTCCAGGATCTAGGGATAATTATGGAGGAAAAACGTTTTTTTCTGGAGAATCATTAAACGGTAATCGGTATAATTAGAACAAGTAAAACAACAAATAAAATATAAATTAAGATGATACAATTTTTTTGTGTATAAATAGCGAATAACACCAACACACCTGTAGACACAAACACACTTACCATACACCTACACAGACCCCACACACACACACACACACACACTCAAAGAGCTGTTAGAAATCAAAAGTGATAATCGACAAGAATATATAGACATATATTCCACCTAGTTTGTTTTAAATTGGAGTCTCGAGTTAGGAGAGTTGCTTCTGGAAGGAACGTAGATGCTTTCGCTCGCCCCTGCACGCAAAAATCCAACGAAATAGGTTTCAAAATTGAATGGAAAATCATGTCGGAAAACTGATAATTTGTAGAACAGACAAACCGAGGCACTAAAGTTTCAAAACGTTTAACTAGACAGTTTAGTAGGACTCTCAGACACCCAAGCCAAGCTGTTGAAACAATGTAGGGATAAGGACTGACAGTCCGACACTCAAAACTTGGCGAATTAACAATACTTTGTGCTGGAAAAACGCTCCTCAGAGCTTCTGCGGGGCATTACGAGTTTAAAGACACTCGCACAAAAAATGAGGAAAATGAAGAGAAGCTGGAAAAGCCGGAAAAACTGATAGAGACAGAGACAGGGTGGAGAGGCGAGATGCAATGCAGTGTAATTAACATATCAAAGCGGGATGTGAGTGGCAAAAAGAGGAGCAATTGAAACCGAAAACTGAGAGCAGTTGCGAATATTTTAAACCGCTCCGAGAATGTTTGTTTAATCTGAAATTCTTAAATACCAAGGCAAGGACTAAGGCCACACAACACTGTCGAGGAGAGAAGGGACGGCAGCTGCAGCAGCTTTCTGTGAAATTTAATTGGAATCAGAGTAGAGGAATGAAGCCAGCAAGAAACAGCCCTCAAAGGTATCAGCGTATCAAAAAATAACAATAATATAAAATTATTGAGACCCCAGCCCTCACCCCTCGACCACAACACACCAGAGAGACACCCACACACACATAAAAACACACCCATAAATACATGTATACACATCTCATTATGTGGTAAAATTTTAATGGAATGAAATTCAATAAAGCAACAATTTATTATTTACGCATAATTATGGACTTTCACCTACTTTTACTTCTGCTGCTTCTCTGCTTGGCTGCCTGGCTGAGAACTCGCAGGCCCCAGATAAATGCCGGCAATTTAAATACAAATTAATCATTCAAATGCCCCTCAGCCGCATCAAATATTCAGCACTTGACGCGCCACACTTTTGATTGAATGATGGGGTAAGTGGGTTTTAGAGAAATTAAAGGGCTCGGTTTATAATTCAACAAGGGTAAGTTGTTTAAGTGGCCAGCAATCGAGACTTTGGTAATCAAATGCCTATCCAGGACAATGAAAATGGCGTGGAAAATGTTGGCAAGTGGCAGCCACGCGGAAAAGTTTCAAAGACAATAAGACTTTGGCTTATCCTTTGAGGATAACATTCTTCCACCTTGTCTGCCGTGCCACGACAGTTTGTCTTGCCAAGTGTCGCAGTTTTCGCGACACTCTTCCCCACATGCTGCAATCCTTGAGAAAATCACGTAAACTGCTTTTCCTTTCGGCCTTTCCACGGGCCGTTCTCAATAATTAAACATTTGCACGCAAAATGGCACGGTGGCAAGATGGCCGCGGCACCTACGCTTTTCCCGAAAAAGTTTTCCCTTCTGGGGCTTACGCCCTCCCTCCCCCTCCCACATTTTCCCGCCCGCTTAATTATAATAATTATGAAAAACAATAATTAAAGCACATAAGTACTAGTACGACAGGACCCCAGTACGAAAGGAAACGAAAGACATTTAATTGAAATTTTAATAGAACTCTAAGCTGGGCACGTACATAGGCGAGACCCAAAAATAAAGGGTCCCACGTTGGGCGCCAGTAAAGGGGCGTGGCAGGGTTACAACACAGGATAACTGGCACTGCCTTTGTTTGTTTTCCTTTTTGTTGTTTTTCGGCTGGTCTTTCTTTTTGGTTCGTTTCTCTTTCGGGCTGCTGAGCACAGAGTCTGAATTTTTGACAACTTAATTAGGTTGTTTGCTGGTTGGTTTTCGCCTTTCCCCCGGATCCAGCGTCCTCGGACCTACTTTACTACCAGCCCCTTACTCTCTTTGTTTGCCCCTCACCCTCTCGCAAGGCTGAGGCATATTTTAATGTTCTTTTGATTAAGTCCCTTTAATTGCCGACCGACAACACCTCACAGGCTCAAGAGGCTGGAAACTCCACTAGACCGGACTCATTTTATCTCTGATGGGTTCAACTTGGTCAGTGCTTGGTCAACACACACACACACACAGCCAGGAGTGGGCTCCCACATAAGCCCACTCGCACACAGAGACAGACAGATATCCTCTGGGTAGACAGTCAAGTTGTCAAAGTGGCAACAATATTAAGCATACGCCATGTGGGCCAGCCTGGGGCAAAGCACGATGATGAATGCAGAGGATAACACACGTGGGGATGTAGCGCTTTAAATATCCGAATTATGTTTCATTTTAATTACATATCATACATTTCAAACTATATCAAGAATTCAGAAGTAAAATTCTGAAAAACTCAGCATGGAATTCCTCCTGGTTGAGAAAAGTTTTTCTGCTGAAGCTCAGAAAATCCAAAAATATCCTTGGCCCATCTGTTACTTATCCCTCCCGCTCTGCGGTTTCATCTGCTTCGGGCAACAGTGTCCGTGTGGTCCTTTCGGCAGAACAAAAAAAAAAAACAGAAATACAGAAACAGGCTGCCGACTACCGACTGTCATGCTATATGACCAAAGGGGAGCAACCTCAAACAGATTTCTCCATTTCCGAGCAAAATGTTTCCCTGGCACACCCGAGAAACTGAAACTCCACCGCATTTGATTTCTTTTTAATTTTGGGGCCTGGGAGCCCGGCTGCTGGATGCTGGCTGCTGGAGGGTGCGTTATTTTTGTTATTTAACAGCCAGACAGAATTTGCATAACGCTTTGATAATTAAATGTAATTGCTTTACTGCCAACAGGCAGGAAAAAAGACGCCATCCGACTCATTTGGGTTTATTTTTGGAGAAATTAATGCCATGTTGATTTGTCAACTTTTCTTATCTTGCTGTTCTCTCCATTTCCTCGTCCTCGTCGAGTCCTGCCGTCGAGTTTTCCCACCACTTTTTATGACGCATAATTATTTGTGATGCTCACTTGATTACTGAGTTTTGAGTGCCCACTTTCAACTCTAAACTAATCCAGGAACCCCGCAGAGCTTACATTTTTAATGATGATGACGATGATGATGATGATGATGATGATGATGGGATTGGGATTGTGGCAGTGGCAACGTTGCGTATACGCAATGGCATTTCAATTAAAATATTTTCACTTGCCACAGGACGGGGCTTGTTGCCTGCCTGATTGGCACAAAGTGGCAGGGCGCCAGTTAATTTAATTTGATATTAGGAATTTTCCAGCTAATTAATAAACATCAGGCTCATGGCTCCCAGGGAGAAGTCTTTAATTCGAAATGAATCTGAATCCTAGACTCGATTTTACATTGTTTCAACTATTTTTAAAGCATGCTACTAACGGGTTAACTTCTCGCAATGACCTCTGACCTCCCCTAACTGCCCATACCTCTCGAAAAAAAATAAATATATGTATATGTGGGCTGCTTAACAAACAAGTTCCGTTCCCAGTTCGAGTTCGAGTTTCAGAGGGGTTATTGTGAATTTCTCATAAAGCCCGAAACTGGAGTAAAAGGTGAGCGGAGAAGTGAGAAAGTGGGGGGCAGGACGCGGGAAAAGTGGAAATCTTGCGGAGGGAACCCTCAGAGCCAAAGGCAAACCGAGTTCTCGTCAGCGCTTTTCGCTTTTCCAACTTTTCGCCATGGGAGCAAGCACAAAGTGGGGAAAAAGTGGGAAAAGCCGAGGAGGAGGGCACAAACGAAAGGGAAAAGTCGGCGAAAAGTGTGGCATAACGAGGGCGGGAGGGGGGTAAGGAAGCCAAAGGGAGGACTTTGCCAATTTTTCACGCCTTTACCAATGTAAATGACAGATTTTTATGCACGTTTTATGCTCTCGATGCGTACACGATTTCATTTTCAGCACTTTTCGCATCAGCGCTCCTACTTTCTCCGGTGTCCTTTTCCCCCGCCCCTCCCTGTGTGTGGCAAGTAGTTGGCCCCCCTGCCAACAGAATTTGCCACAAGGTCCCTGAACGAGCGAAAAATCACCGGGAAAATTGAACCAGAAATTATATTTCGATCATATTGATTACTGAGAGCCTGGAATCTGTTTTCAGGACGAAATCAGGACGAAGATGCGTTCGTAATGGATTATTTTTAAACTGGGAAGTTTTTAAAAAATATAACTAAATATTTATGTAACTAATTTGTTTTATTTCCTCGACAATTGGCAAACAAAATAAAAATCAATTTTCCCCAAATTGGTTTATCAAAATTGTTATCCACCTGAAGGGGGCTGGTGTGGAGGGGTTGGCGGTTACATGGCAGCCCCCCGCCACCCCCTTGGAGAGATGGAAAGGTGTATTCCACACTTCCATTAAGGCAGAGGTAAAAAAAATAATAATAAAAACCAAAAAACCTCAAGAAGAACGAAAGCTAACACGGCAAGTAATAATAATACATGGAACTTCCATTTGCCCCTGTCATCATCACTTTTGTGGCAGGCTCGGTACCCTCTCCCCCTCCCCCCTTCCCCCTTCCACGTGTGTGGGTTTTGGGACTCCACTTCAAGTGCCCGCCGCCGAATCGAACGATGTCTTCCTTTGAGGACCCCCGGGCACAATGCAAATATCTTTATTTCTTGATTTTTTCTGTTGCCTCGGAAAGCATTAAAAATGCACGCCGCACTGGATCTGCGGGGGGGCGTGGCCGGAAGGTGGCGGCGGGGGGTGGCAACACGTTGGTGATTTGTGGGACCATAATAAATCAAGGGCATAAACGGCTTATGGCCGGGCCATAACGCAGGACAACCTATACACGTAGTACTATATATATATTTTTAAGTTGCGGAGATTTTAATATTCGGCTTTAAAATGAATGCGAAGAGGAGGCTAATTCCAATCAGGATTATGATTCAGAAGCACTGCCCCTTAACGGGAGCTGGAATGGGTTCTCGGCTCATCACTCTCGAATTAAATCTCCGGATTTGAATATAAATCCGCATATATGTACGCATGTGGGTTCTGCATGAACAAATAATGCGCCCGCCGTAAGGCACGGAAGTTTACACTCAATTTAGTTTGCAAAAAAAGCAACGCATCCTCGCCGATGCACATATTGAACATTAATATTGGCTTTCAACTGCAGTGGTCGGGCAAATAAAATGCAAACAACGAAAATATTTATTTAGTTTCGAGCTGGATGCGAGGGGAGAGCATTTCCATCACTTATTCAATGTTTGCTACCAACATTTTAAATTCAAGCTGTCGGAAATGCATAGGAAACAGTGCTTTGTTCAATAGGTTAGGTTAGGGGGGAGAAACTCTCAAATAAAATACTTCAAATCAAAGACGTCCTGGCTGCTTTTTACGAGGCCGGTTAATGTGGCGAGTGATTGGCTCAATGCCCACGACTCGCCTCGCTTCACTTCCGAACCGCTGATGGATTTGTCACTTTATGGCACTTGCCGGGCAACCGGGAGCTGCCCAGGCACTCAGGCACTTTGCCAGACCCTGCCGCAATGCGCTTTTTCACACTGGAGGCCCAAAGGCGAAAGGAATTTGTAAGAGCTTCCTGTCGCCTGTGTCCTGTGTGCTCCCCGGGCGAAAAGTGCACTCTGCGATCTGCCGGCTACTTGCTTCTAAAAATCGCTCATACGCCCAGTATGACTAACTAGCATCCAGCACTTTAAAGACTCTTACTTTAAAGAAGCCCTCCAACACTTAAAATTCTCAATTAGAATTCCCCTCGGGCTGATGGATCATCGAGAGGACTATCCCCCCAGATAGAATCCAATCCGAAACCGCTTCACAATTGGAATACCTCCAGGCCACGGATCTGCTGAGGAATGCGAAAAGTGCGAACGGGGCCAAAAGCGCATCTAAAGTGGCCAAGAGGGGGGCGGCAAGGGGCACGCGGTGGGCTCTCAAAAGGAAACAGAACTGAAGCCAATGGTTGGGGCACATCACCGATGATTGAGCCACTGTGGGAGGTCGTTTTTCCGTTTCCCGAAAACTAGAGGAGAGCGATGGATGATGGGCCAGTGCATATGACAGAGTAGGCCCCCGGAGGAGGAGGCCCTGGAGGAGGACTTGCTGGCTGTCAACTAACTGCACTAAACTGAACCGAACACTCGGCGAGCAGTGGCGCGCCCATTAGGCTGGCGAAGTGATGACAGGACAAGGTCCCAGCAAACTTCTGACTTGCATTCCAACCTCGATTCCTGGCTTTCATGCATCACCAACCCAGGACACTGCACCCAAAACTGTGCCAATATTTTCCATTTAAAATTATATAGAAGGAGGCTAATATTAAAGGCTGAAGACATCTTTCCTCAAACTAGTACCTTGCAGAGTATATATCCTTGTTATTAGTTACTATTTCTCTCAGTGCACTTGTCCCTGTGGAATCACTCTGCCAGTCTGTCGGGCAGTTTATGTGTGTTGCCGTTGACATGGTGCCATGGAAAAAAATGATTGCTGCAAGTCAGCTACTCCATAGATTGAGTGTGTATCCTGCACAGTTGTATCTCTATCTCCACCCCTCTAACTGTAACTGTAAATGTATCTGTATCTCTAACTGTGTTTGTCGCCAAGTGCATCTGCAGTTGTTGTGGGATCTGGGCATTTAAGCCTTTTATGTGTGGCTTTCAATATTAATTAAATGCTTACAAGCCCCGAAATGGGCCCTTCTGGGGCTGTACTTCTTTTCACCTCCTAGCTGCCCCTTGCATCATTTATGAGGATGATGTCTGGTCGGGAGAGTTCCACATTGAAACGTTGCTTTTTCAAGGGGACCCATCAGGAAAAATGGAGAACTCCGCTTGAGAATCGGATGAGAATTGGGGAAGATATAGCCATCGCAGTGGACCCTATAGGGGAAATCCTCATTTTTAAAGGACCCCATCAGGAAAAATGGACAAAATATCTAAAAAATATTTTGTCTCAGGATTTTGATGCAGAATGGTAGCAAATCGATATAGAAATCGTTTAAGGTACTCCGCTTGAGAATCGGATAAGAATTGGGGAAGATATAGCCATCGCAGTGGACCCTATAGGGGAAATCCTCATTTTTAAAGGACCCCATCAGGAAAAATGGAGAAAAAATCTAAAAAATATTTTGTCTCAGGATTTTGATGCAGAATGGTAGCAAATCGATATAGAAATCGTTTAAGGTACTCCGCTTGAGAATCGGATGAGAATTGGGGAAGATATAGCCATCGCAGTGGACCCTATAGGGGAAATCCTCATTTTTAAAGGACCCCATCAGGAAAAATGGAGAAAAAATCTAAAAAATATTTTGTCTCAGGATTTTGATGCAGAATGGTAGCAAATCGATATAGAAATCGTTTAAGGTACTCCGCTTGAGAATCGGATGAGAATTGGGGAAGATATAGCCATCGCAGTGGACCCTATAGGGGAAATCCTCATTTTTAAAGGACCCCATCAGGAAAAATGGACAAAAAATCGAAAAAATATTTTGTCTCAGGATTTAGATGCAGAATGGTAGCAAATCGATATAGAAATCGTTTAAGGTACTCCGCTTGAGAATCGGATGAGAATTGGGGAAGATATAGCCATCGCAGTGGACCCTATAGGGGAAATCCTCATTTTTAAAGGACCCCATCAGGAAAAATGGACAAAAAATCGAAAAAATATTTTGTCTCAGGATTTTGATGCAGAATGGTAGCAAATCGATATAGAAATCGTTTAAGGTACTCCGCTTGAGAATCGGATGAGAATTGGGGAAGATATAGCCATCGCAGTGGACCCTATAGGGGAAATCCTCATTTTTAAAGGACCCCATCAGGAAAAATGGAGAAAAAATCTAAAAAATATTTTGTCTCAGGATTTTGATGCAGAATGGTAGCAAATCGATATAGAAATCGTTTAAGGTACTCCGCTTGAGAATCGGATGAGAATTGGGGAAGATATAGCCATCGCAGTGGACCCTATAGGGGAAATCCTCATTTTTAAAGGACCCCATCAGGAAAAATGGACAAAAAATCGAAAAAATATTTTGTCTCAGGATTTTGATGCAGAATGGTAGCAAATCGATATAGAAATCGTTTATGGTACTCCGCTTGAGAATCGGATGAGAATTGGGGAAGATATAGCCATCGCAGTGAACCCTATAGGGGAAATCCTCATTTTTAAAGGACCCCATCAGGAAAAATGGACAAAAAATCTAAAAAATATTTTGTCTCAGGATTTAGATGCAGAATGGTAGCAAATCGATATAGAAATCGTTTAAGGTACTCTGCTTGAGAATCGGATAAGAATTGGGGAAGATATAGCCATCGCAGTGAACCCTATAGGGGAAATCCTCTTTCTTAAGGGACCCCATTAGGAAAAATGGAACAAGCTCCAAATTTAATGTCTAAACTTCTTAGGTGATTGCCCAAACAATCCCCTTCCTAATGCGCTTCCTAATCCTCAATTTCAATTTCCATCCCGTTTCGGGGCCAGCAATCAAGACGTCAGAATTTAATTCCGAACAAAAAATGGAAAATAATAAAACTGCTGACAGCTTCACAATTGGTTCACGAAAATATCAAACACAAGTCCCGGCTCTTCCCGGAAAGGGGCTCCTTTCCCAGTAAGGGATTCCCCTTCAACACCTCCGACGAAATCATTTGCGGGTGACTGAATGCCTGAATCCCCCTCCCTCCTCATTCGGGCTGAAAGGAAAAGGGACAAGACAATGGTCCTCCCTCCCGCCCTGGGCTTGGTGGGCCGTGTGACAGATCCCTCCATTCCGTCCTGACTTTACAATCTCTTCAAATTAAATCGACCTATGTCAGAATTGGCTCAAAGGGGTTTTTTCTCCATCACCTCCTCCCCTCCATCCTTGACACTTTTTCGTGTCCTGCTCCCATCCTGGCTGCTCACAAAGAAGGCAATCAGTGTAATGGCTTTAATGGACACTGATTGTTTGGCAGGAGGAGCAGTCCAGTTGGAATAGGAACTATTTCTACTCCACCTGTCACTTTAATTGGGGAATTTTCATCACCTTTTCGAATCGATCTAGTTGGCAAGGGAATTAGCAGGGAATTAAAGAAAAGTTTACGAATGTAAACGTAGTAGGCACCGCTTCTCTCCAGGCTATAAAAGCGGAGCCCGGAGCCCCATAACTTTCATTTGCCTCCGAGACAGGCAACAGTTCGGACGGCATATTAGGAAAATAAAATAAATATTCAAAATTCAAAAAGGTCTCGAAAAAGTGAGTTAAATTTAATAATATTAAATATTCGAAAAAAGTGAAAACAAAAATATATAAAAGTGAAAAAAATAATTGAATTTAAAATTCAATAAAAAAAAATTAAATTTAAAATTCAAAAAAAAAATTTAATTTAAAATTAAAAAAAAAATAATAATTGAATTTAAAATTCAAAATAATAATAATTCGAATTTCTATTTTTAGATTAAATCTCGCCAGGTGCGGCGCGTCCGAGATGTCTGCACTGCGGATGCTTCCGCGTGCTAGACCGATGCACCTGGACCCCTGCGTGGCGATGGGCCTACGTTACGCCAGCGGGGACCAGACCCGCTTGATGAGCGGCGACCGCGAGGTGGTCGGATACGGCATCAACGGACGCTCCATCTACTTCGACAGCCAGGACTGCCCCTTCCCGGCCATTCGCTACCGCGAGGTCACCCCGGAGGTGTGCGCCCTCCGGGAGAAGGAGCTGGGCGATTGGAAGAAGCTGTCGTTGTGCGAGAAGAAGGTGCTCTACCGCCATAGCTTCTGTCAGACCTACGCCGAGTTCCAGAAGTTCTCGCCGGACTGGAAGCTGGTCCTGGGCGTTGGGCTTTGGGCGTTGGCGATCGGCTGTGCTCTGTCCGTAATGAGCAAGCTGAATATGTACAACGACCCGCCGGACACATACGACGAGGAGCACCGCGCCGCCCAGCTGCGCCGAATCATCCAGCTACAAATCAACCCGATCCTCGGGCTGTCTTCCAAGTGGTGCTACGAGCGCAACCAGTGGAAGTAAGGAGGACCATCTCCAAACCACAGACTAGACACAAAATGCTGGTGATGCCAAGGATGATTATTGAATTGCCGTTAGGTTTGGCATCAACAACTAAAGCTACAACTTCAACTTCAACTACAACTTCAAAAACAACAACACAAGCTGCAATTGTTGTGTTCTTTAACCCCACTTAACACCACTCGCCCACTACCTTGAAACTATCAACAGCATTATCGATTGCCAAGCATCGTTACCTGTTCTATCATAAACTTAACTGCCAAAACTAAACCATACTGGATACTCGATACTCGATGATACACTTTATTTGCCTATACTAACTTAACTAAGACTAGACTATTCCGTGAAACTGACTACACACCCCTCCCTCATAACACTATTCGGCCAAACAAATGTAACTAAAGCCCACAATATACCACTAACCGTAGCACAATTAGGACATGCAGAATTTGAAAGTATACCTCTACAGTAATACACCTGAGCCTATACAAGCTACAAACCTATGTAAATACCTCGCTAATCATATTGTAGCCCCCAATGTTATGATTCATTTTCTGTTCCCTGGACATGAATTGTTGCATAGCACACGCCTAACACCTGGGTTACCTGTTACCCTTTACTTCCAACTCTGTACGCATATATAGCTAACGTCTCTCATCACCCTTACAATGATTAGAATAATGTAACAGACTCGCAGGCGATTCGGCTATCTTCCTTGTTTTTTGTAAAGAAGCTCGAATCGTGCTGCGAGAATAAAAGCGATTATAAGAATCGAATCCACCAAGTGTCTTCTATATCTGAAATCTAAAAGAATCTTCCATCCAGGAGTGAGCTAAAAATGCGCTTTATTGCAATCTTGAATTGAGATTTTGTTAATACATAGAGTGTATGTACGATCTTGTATGTGTATACAATATAATATATATATCTTTTGAATCGGCTGCATGCGTATGCGATGCTGACTGTACTTGATCGGATGTGTTTTTGATGTAAAGGTGGTCTCGTTTAGTATGTAACATATGTATGTATGTCTCATGAGAGAGTATGTATAGTATGGATATCATGTACAGTGGTTATGTAAATACTAACATCGGTTGAGTTCATTTATCATGTATCATGTATGAATTCCATCGTTTCAAAATTTGTGTTTCGTTATTGGTGCATCACATGCATGGAGTACAGTAGTCAATGCCTAAATGGTCTCGAACAAAGCTCAAAGCTTCTCCAAAAACTAGGTTCTTAAGTGGAAAGATACACAGAGCTATATCGAGTTTAAGTACGGCCAATTAATTGGAGATACTAAATACAACAAACTAAGCGGTAGTCACTGGTAGTAGAACTTAAACAAAACATTTCACATTTTCGACAACTCGATTTTATTATTGTAGTTTTTTTTTTGTAATTTTTAGTTTTTTAGTATTGAACTCTTTCGTGTTTCGGTTTTTATTTGCATCTGGTTCAGTTTTGTGTGGGTTTTAATTTACTTTAATGCTACCTCAAAATATATATTCCTCAGATACATTTATATAACTACTTAGAGAACATCATTTAACTTGAATAGTTCTTGGCAGTTATTTTTTGCATTTACATATTTTCATAATCCGTTTGCTTTAAAAACATGCCAGCACTCCCCCTGCCAGTCCTTTTTATCTAAATACTCCTCCTGCTCATTAGATTTGATTAATGTACGATATTTGCGACATAAATACGCATCTCTCTCACATATATATAAATCTACATATATACTGTGTTTTGTATATATATATTCTTGGGTTTTATTCTCCTTAAAGATCATCGCACATCATATGCTTGTATTTTATATAATTTCTTTCATATCCCGCCCGCACTCAGGCCCCCATGCCTTGGACTCTCGGTCCCCTGGGCCACCGCCGAGTGGCAACCAGGACGCGCACCTAGACGTCCTTATAGCTCGGCCTGCCCATCGCCACAGTATTAGAATTTGTTATTTAAGTTTATCTCGCTTTTCCGGGCTTGTTTTTCGTTTTCTTCAAGCTAAACAGCATTAAATAATTAATTTTAATTATAGTATTAAATAACTACTACAGTGAGAATGGGTATGGGTATGGGTATGGATATGGGTGTGTATGGTGTGTGCTTCGCATGCCCTCTGAATGGATGTTTGAAATGATTCCTGCAGTTTTTTTCTAAACACTTCTCTTGTTTACTGGCAGTGCAAGTTTTTTGTTTTATTTTTTTTTGAGTTTCGTATGTGAGTTTCGGGCAGAACACCTAACTGATTCAACTTGCGAACGATACAGGCCCAAACTAAACACAGGATGATACAAAAAAAAAAAATAAAATAAACAAAATCCCAATGAACCCAAATGAAAGCATGAGAATCCTATCAAGCCTGGCTGATAGATGGCGTCCGGCGCAGAGATCCTTCTTCCCCAGCTTCCCCCATCGAGCTGTAAGTATGTATAGTATGTATGTGTGTGTGTGTGGTATGTATGTGTCTGTCTGATTGGATGTTCTTTAGATGCGACCAGTTATGCCCTATCAAATAGCATATTTTATAATGTGGTACCCTAAGACTCGATCGCTAAACCCGCTCCGGCTGCTCCCGCTGCTCCTGGCCAGTCACTGATCCAGTTCCAGTTCCAGCTTCCGATCCCGATTCCAATCCCAGACTTTAGCCATTTGGTACACTCTGTGTCTGATCCGATCTGCCTGGCCATGCGTGTGTGTGGTTTCGTACTGTTTGATTTTCTGTTTCTGGTATGTGAACTCGCTGCTTTCCCGCTGCTGTCGTCCTTGGTGATTTCAACCGAGCCATTCAACCGAACCAGCCACCGTCTTTCAGTCCCAGCCGTTCTCCTTTATCATGTGCGCCAGCTCGATGATGAACTTGCCCTCCTTGTACTTCTGGCTGGACTCGTAGGCGTGCTCGTACTTCCACCCCAGCGGCGTCTTGCAGCACTCGCAGTAGATGTCCGCCACGGCGTGCAGCCCGGTGAGCAGCACCCGCTCCTCCGTCTGGCCGCAGGCGACATTCACCACCGAGTTGAAGAGGTAGGCTGGTCCCTGGCTGCCCTGGAACGACTTCGAGATGAGCTCGTCGTGGGAGGCGAGGTGGGCGCGGCAGTGAACACATGAGTAGGTCCGGTTCGTGGACGGTAGGTAGGCCTGGAACGTCTTCACCATAATGGAGGTGAGTCCCAGGCAGCAGGATAGTAGCTAGTAGTCGGCCTTCCTCTTCCTTTTTCCTGTCTCTCCTTATGGTGGTCCTCTTAACTGTCATTTGAGGAGGAGAAATAGCTTAGTCGTGATTCTTTTTATACTTAAAAATAACTCAACTCGGTGACTAACTCTGGTTTTGATTGAAAAAGCATTTCAATTTTGTGTATATTTGTGAGTTCAAGGAAATAGTAGCAACTTGTATGCTCTAACATTTCTAACATTCTCTAATAATGTTTCTATCTCAGGTGTCTGGGTGTCCGTAGGTCTATCGCTCTCTAAACAACACTTACCCCCCCACAATATATGTTTATATAGTAGATTCTTTAGTCTTGAATCACTTTCAAGTCTGTCCGCCAGTCTGTCTGCCAGTCTGCCCGATTGTTGGCCTTATAGGATCTCATCTTTCCAACTACCAAGAACCCAGCCAAAGATCCCCAATTGGTAATTTTGAGAAAGAAAGCCAGTAGCTTCTTGGTTTGTTAGTAGAATATTAATAAAGACTCGCTGGAAGCCAGCTCTACCTACTTTTGGTTTTAGTTTTGGTTAAATTCATAGAAATCGATACTGATCCTTGAACTAGTTTTCTGGTTTTCTTGGTTTTTTTTTTTCGTTCCAGTTGCCAAACAAAGTTTTCGCTTATTTTGACGCCAATTAATTCGAGCTAGCCAAGTTGGAGCTGCGGCTTCTGTTAGCTTATTTATAGGCCACTTACCTTGACCAGGACCACAACCTTCTCCCTCTGCGGCTCTACGGACTCTCCTGGGTTCACTCTCGTTCGTTAACTGGGGGCGGCGGTGAAAGCTGGCACGGCTGCTGTCATTGAATGATTATTTCCGAGAACTCAGTCGACTCCTCTTTTCCCCCGGCTGTCCCCCGGCTGCAGTTATGTATCCGTATCTGTATCTGTATCTGATTCCGATTCAGATCCACGGCTATATCAGATTTCCAGACAGCCAAAGAGAAAACTGCAAGTAGAAAACAAAAGGCGAATTATTAATGCATGCGATGTCTGTTATGCAAACCAGAGAATCCAAGCCAAGGAGCAGCGGGCCAGCGGGCTAGGCTGGGTGGAAAAGCTAGATATGGCCGGGGCATTTCCATTATTGATTTCCATTTGCAATCTTTTTGCCGTTGGTAATTCCAGTCGTTGGTAACCAACACACCCACAGACCCAGACCCAGGCCCAGACCCACCAGCACGGAGCACACAAGGGATAATTGCCCGCCCCCATCCCCGCCCCCGAAACAAACAAAGCGCAACGAGAATAGGCGAAAAGCCGTAGTGGGATTGACTAGACCAGGTAGTACCCTGTAAAAGATGAAAGCTTTTTAATGGAGGTTTGTTCTTGGGAGCCACAACGCTTGGGAGTAGAAGACCCAGACTCACAAGAGGCCTCGTCTCTGGTCCATACCACCCTTAGCCAGTTGGGATACCCTGCACTAATAGATATTTGTTGCACTCACGCACTCAGTTTGGCAGCTGCACCTCTCACCTGGCAGGGGGATCGACTGTGGAGAACTCTCTTCCTATTAGCGCCATCCCGGGTGCTAAACGATTAATGGCCGCTTGCCGTAAACAACCCAGTCCGGGTCTGAGTAAGTGTGGTACCCGCTTTTTCGGGCGAGATACCCAGGTGGGGCTCTGCTAAATGGGACAAGTATGTCGGGATGCCCATGAATAATGCCAGTCCCCAATCTTTTATTCATTCCAATCGTGAGTCGTGTTCTCCGAGTGCCTTTTGTGTGCTTCTCTGTGGCTCTGTGACTCCTGGCGAAGCTGTTGATTGTTATTCATTGGCGGCCTTACCCGATTGATGATGTTTACCAATTGATAAGCAGGGGAGCTTAAGGCGAAAGGTTCTCGGTGCGAGGAAGTCAAGGCAGACAATGGCCGATTAAACGAATTCATTCGGGGAGGGGAGAGTGGGGAGTGGGGAGTCCTGTGCTTTGTTTTTTGTGAAGAAGGCAGAAGGGTAATGAATCCGCCAGAAGCACAAATGCCCCTTGTAATTAGGGGCATGCCAGAGACGTCTCTTTGGAATTTTGTTGGGGGGGGATGAGGCATGTCCTCTCCTGCCAACTGCGCCACTGCCCCGTCATCAGCGCCTTCTGCTCAATCTCCGAATGCAAATTGGCCAACAGCGCCAAAGCCGAGGCCGAAGTCAACACCAACGCCAACGCCAGCTGCTCTGCTTGCGCCGGCGACTTCAGCACAAAGAACACCAAACCCAAAAGGAGCGCCTCGGCAGAACAAAGAGCGCCAAACGTGAGCTGGGGGGATGGGGGAAGGAGAGTGGCAGAGAGCGAGAGTGCATAAAAGGGAAATGCACTTGGCCCCAGACAACAAAGAGATCGAATTCCGCCCCCGCCTTTTGCAGCCGCGGGGGGCGTGTCGCCAGAATTCATTTGCATTTCAATTAGAAAATCTGCCGGGCAACTTAATTAATTAATTAATTAACTTTTTTTTTTATCATAGTAGCAACAGTAGCTTTAGAAAACCGAAGCAAAACAACAACAGTTCACTGAACCACAAAAACAAAAAAAAGGGGAGAGCCAGCGGGGAGACAGAGACAGGGGAGCCTGCAAAGTTCTTTGTCACTCACTTGGGGACTTCTCGTCTCTCTCCCTCTCTCTCTTTCTCGTTCTGACAATTATTCTGCGTGCGAATTGGATTTCTATTAGATTTTTTGCACCTTTTGGGCTTGTTTTTTAGCGCCCAGCACTATTTCTGCCAGACTTTTGATTTTTTGTCGAGTTCTCCACACACGACAAGTCGGAAAGCAAAGCGCGCAGCGCGAAACTTGAAAAGCGAATGACGCTGCCTTGCCGTTTTTTCTGCCGGCATAGCGTTGGCCCCATGGCGGCGGCGACGGCAGAGCAGCGACTGAGGCAGAGACGCAGCAGGTGGCAGCGCCGCCAGCGGATAAAGGACAAATATGAAATGCAAAACGGCTGAATGGCAACGAGTGGCAAACAAAAATGTGCAACAATTGGAGCAACAACGCACAATGCGTGCTCAATGAACAAACAAATTACGTGCAATTTGCGATTGCAATCAAGACGCAGGCCGAGAGAGAGACAGATGACAGGGCAGATAGAAACGGTAACCGCAGTTGCCGTTAGAAATGTTAACAATATTCTTGTTTATCCCACCCCCCGCCCGACCTCACCAACAAAACGGCTATTGCCAGACCAGCCTAGTATGTGCGTGGGGGACAGTGTTGGGCAGGAAAGTGGCAACAGCTCAAAAACATGTCCACACATGCTTCTATTCACAAAAGCTGTATTGCTTATTTGTGGCAGTGAAACATACACGACTTTTTAATGGCAAACAGCTGGCCAAATTATAGAAACAGTGTCTAACTGGCTCTAATCACCGGATTTCGTTTATCTCCTCCGGAGGCTCCAATGTGTTGGCCGCCACTGTGCTGCCGTGGTAAAAGCAACAGCAGCCGGGTAACGGTAACTCCGCCAGGTAACTCATGTACCGCGATAGTGTGTCAGCTGCGACTGCGACTGCGGCAGCGACTGCATCAGCGTCAGCGATGGCGAGACAAAGTGACGGGCGTCGCGTGTTGAAAGTACACCCCGCTTGCAACAGATTGCAAACAAAATTAGTTAATTAAAGCCAAGAATAGCCCGCTGTATCAGCTCTCTTTGTGCAGGACTATTGTGATTGTGTCGAGTCGGCAATAATCGCCATAATTTCTTGGGGCGCAATCACTGAGCAATCGTTGGCGGCTGATACTGTTTATTGTTTACTGTTTATTCTGCGTCTGCGATGAGCGTCGACTGCGACTGCGACGGCGACGTCGCTTTTAGCCAAAAAGTCAACACGGCTAAGAACTTTTGCGTCGTTTTCTCTCGCGGTCTTCTTCGAAAGGCATTTCTGGGGTGGATCACTGCATTATAGAAAGCAGGGTGGCCCCATCGTGAGTCAAAAGGGTATCTCTCGTTTGACTTCTAAGAAGGGATGGGGGGAAGCGCAACAAAAACAAAACATGTGCGAAAGAATCACAAGAGAAGAGCTACAGAAGATGATGGAGCTAAAGAAGAGGAAGAGAGCTCGCTGGTAGCTGGTAGCTGGTAGCAACGACCGACTGGTGTTGCCCCCGTCTTGGCCACCCTCCCCCACAGCTGTTCTTTGTTGTTGTTTGGGTTTCTTTCGTTTCTGTTCGTTTCTCCCTCTGGTTCTCACTCACTCTGGCATGTTGCCGTCTCCCTTGCGCCACATCGGGGGGGTCAATGGCGTTGCTCTTTAAAAACTTGTCTCTGGCCGCTCTCCCCACTTGTTTGGCGTTTGTTTTTGCGCGTCTTGGAGGAAGCGAAAATATAAATAAAATAGAACGCTGATTAACAGCGGCCAGATAAAAAACGGTCTATCTGCCTATAGGCGAAAACAAAACAAAGCCAACAGCTGATGCAATAGAAAGAGGCAGAAGAGCGGCGCAGGCGGCAGCAGCGGCAGAGGCAGAGGTGAGAGAGCACTGGATCGGGCCTGGGATCAGGCTTATATTTTTTCGGTATATAGTACACGTACAATGTACATACATGTAGTCCGCATTAGCAACATTCGATTGTGGTCGTTTTTCTTATCAGAAAATAACATGAAATTTATTGCGTTGTGACGCTACTGGGGACTGCGACGCCAACAAAAGCAGAGAGGACTAGCGAGGCCCCCAAAGAGGGAGAGCGAGAGGTAAACAAAAATACACAAACAGCTGCGGCAGCACACACACACACACACCTGCGCACTACAGCTGCTGTGTGTATGCAGAAAATGCGAAAATCCTGTGGCCCCCACGCCGCCTCTGCACTCCTTTTTTTCACAACAAAGTCAGCTGTGTGTGTGCAACAGCAGCAGGGCACTTCAGAGCAGGATTTGGAGTCGCAATTTGTTTAGTATCTTTTCTCAGAGCCCCAAATAAGACGCCAAATGCACAAACACACGCACAAACGTTTGTATACAAAACAAAATAGCAAAAAAAAAATCTATCAGCAAGTGCACACATACATTGGGGTACAGTTTTTTGGCAGCTTTTATGGTGTGGGTGACGCGATGCGATTTTTAAACATTATAACGGTGCATGTACTTACATGTTAGTTTTATTCTTATTTGAAGCGTTTATCCCTTTCCTTGGGACCAGCTCACACACTCTGCAGCACTAGCACGGCCAAAAGCAATATGCAACGATTATGGCCAACGGAAAACGCAAATTGGCAATGGCTCTTCTCTTCTGGCGCTTCTCTATTTTTTCACTTGCAGTTTGTTTTCTATTTCAACTCTTGTTGTTGTACCTCTGCAGCCAGCCAGTGAGACCAGGCGATCGCCTTCTTGCAAATACTGCCAGAGTTTTGGCCCAATAAGTTTGAAAAAGTACGCGGGAAATGAAAAGCTTACAGAAAAATATACAATAAGCAGGAAAAACACAGGGGTAACTTATGGAATGGAATAGAAATGAACCTTTACGCAGATAACTCACATATTTTTCAAATACTTTACTATGATGGTGAATATTGTACATTCCTTTTTGTGTTTTTTTGGTCTTATATTGATAATTAATATTGTTCCACCTCAACATAACTATAAGTCTTCCATTTTTAAGGAAAACTTTGATTTATGGCTAAATATCTTATTTGAAAGACTTGTTACCTTCATTTTCCAATTGGCCTGACAACTCTAGTATTCCAATTGGACAGAAAGAGAAAATACTAAAAATACCAATGTGTTGAAATTAAGAATTGAGATACAGGTAAAATCTTAATTTAAAATTTTAATTTCAACAAATCAATAAAGAATAAAGTGTTTTAAGTGCCTTCCAGATAAAAAATCATATTTAAAATCCCAAAAGAATTAAAAATATCGATGTAGTACAAATCGATTTTTCCATCGATGTTTGTCCACCCACAATTTGGCCACACTGGCATTTTGGCAAAAACAGCGGCGCTTACGACAGATTCTAAAAGATTTCTGTGTTTTTTTGTTCGAGATCACTCAAAACTAGAAAAAGGTTAGGCCTTGGATTAAAAAAGCGACTTTGCAGGTTCATAAAGTGGCGTACGAGCGAGAGCCTCATCATCCAGGTCTTGGAAGCCATCCGCCAGTCCACCCGCCTAACCTACAAAGTTACATAATTTCGGTTATTTGTTGTTATGAAGGTATATTCCTACCTAACGGCTGCAAATCTCTATTCTTCTTCAGAGCATAATGTCGTTCTCCAAGACTGCCCGTTTGTTGGCCACCCGTGGCGCCCGCATGGTCCAGTCCCGCAGCTACTCCGATGAGATGAAGCTGACCTTCGCTGCCGCCAACAAGACCTTCTACGATGCCGCCGTGGTGCGCCAAATCGATGTGCCATCCTTCTCTGGCTCCTTCGGTATCCTGGCTAAGCACGTGCCCACCCTCGGTAAGTATTTGCCCCTTCGTGGGCCTTTTCTTTCCCCGCAATCTTGTTATATCACCCGACGATTTGTCTTCCAGCTACCCTGAAGCCCGGAGTGGTCCAGGTGGTGGAAAACGACGGCAAGCTGCTCAAGTTCTTCGTCTCCAGCGGCTCTGTCACCGTCAACGATGACTCCTCTGTCCAGGTGCTCGCCGAGGAGGCGCACCCCGTCGAGGATATTGACATTAACGAGGCTCGCCAGCTGCTTGCCAAGTACCAGTCGCAGTTGAGCTCCGCTGGTGACGATAAGGTGCGATTTAGTGTTTTTTACAAGAACTTCTTGTAGTTGTATAGAAGAGCAAAGTGTTGACTATCCTGTGGGAGTTTATCTATGCTCTGTATGTCGTACATGTTCAAGTAGGCAACTTTATGATAGATTACAGGCGTTTTAGGCTTTTCTTAATGGACTTCTTTTGAAGGAAACCCTTTCCTTGCCCCACTTTATTCAAAAACTCAAGCTATACTATCAGTTTGGCTAAGGAAGTTTGTTTTAAGTTTTTCATAATGATTAACAAGCCTATAACTTTAACTTTAAGTAAGAAAGAGTTAAGTCCTATTCAAGATAGTCAATGCCAAGTTCTGTTTAAAATGTCAGACTCCAACTAATGTAATATCCTTATTCCCCTGTTGCAGGCCAAGGCTGAGGCTGCCATCGCCGTGGAAGTCGCCGAGGCGTTAGTCAAGGCTGCCGAATAGACGTAATCAACAACAAACAATAGCAACACCAACCACACACACCGCCACCAACATCCACAAACTGATGTTTTGTGTCTGAAATAAATAAAACATAAACGATCCTCTTAAAAAGCAAGGCGTTATGAAACAATAAAAAAGCGAATCATAATATCCGTATTAATGACCGTGATCACCAAGCAACTTCAAACGACGCCTCGTCGCAGTTTGCGATTGTTTTTTTGTAATTTTTTTTTCTGTTTCGCTGCCAATTTAGTGATTAAACATTCGTCGAAGAGAAATGTGTGATATTTCCTCGCCCTGTGGGACTGGGACTCTCGTTATGCTAATCCATTGGCCTTAAGCCTTTAATCATATTTCAATGCGTTTCTTTTGTGCGCTGGAATGTGCTCCTCCCGCCAACTTTCTTATGCAAATTCTGGCCAAGCCCCAAGATGAATTGGCCAGCCACGTCCCTTGGCTGCGCTCCGGCGCTAATAAATTTTGTAACATTAATTAATAATAGTAGGAAATTCACTAATTTCCACACGCATTCGATAAATGGCCTAATGGAAAATTGCATAACGACTGCAGCCATCAGTCGCCGCTATTTTTCCCAGTGTGGAAACCCGAAACCTGTTCTCCGAAGGTCAAGTTTACGGTTTCTATTTCTTTGATAGCCATCCCCAATTATAATAAACGTATAGCGTTTTTTTTTTGGAATTTCTCTTTTTTATTTTCTAACAAAAAAATGCGTGGTTGAAAAAAAATGTCTTAAATTAAACTCATGGCGTTGTGTAGGAATGGTAGGGTGCTCGATGTAGTAGCAGGAAGGATCCTCTCTAGTAGGCGGGTGGACCGTAGGTCTGGGCGGGGGCGTGGCCCACTGGCAGGACGGGCTCCTCCGGGGCGAAGACCGGCGCCGGAGCGGGGTGAGGCACGCTCAGGACGGGCGCGGGTGCTGGAGCGGCGTAAACTGGAGCTGGAGCTGGGGCGGAGTAGACGGGAGCCGGAGCAGGAGCGGAGTAAACTGGAGCCGGAGCTGGGGCCGAGTAAATTGGAGCTGGAGCTGGGGCGGAGTAAACGGGAGCTGGTGCTGGGGCGGAGTACACGGGAGCTGGGGCTGGAGCGGAGTAAACTGGAGCGGGAGCTGGGGCGGAGTAAACGGGAGCTGGAGCTGGGGCAGAGTAAACTGGAGCTGGAGCAGGAGCAGCGTACACGGGAGCTGGAGCAGGAGCGGCGTAAACTGGAGCAGGGGCAGCCACTGGAGCGGGGGCATAGACTGGAGCAGGAGCAGCGATTTCCTGGACAGGGGGCAGGTAGGAAGACACCGGGGCAGCCACTGGGGTGGGCACATCGATGGGAGCGTAGGCAGGACCGGCAGCCACTGGGGCGGCAGAGTGCTCATGGATCACGCGGACCACCTTGGTGACACCGCCGGAGTAGCCAGCACCGGAAGCGTATCCAGCACCGGAAGAGTATCCGCCACCGGAGGAGAAACCGCCTTCCTGGCTCTCGTGGACAACCTTGATAACCTGGGAAACAGCTCCACCACCGACAGAAGCGCCACCGCCTCCGATGAAGGCAGGTGCGGGAGCAGGGCCGGAAGCAACGTTCACCACCTTGACGATCTGGGGAGCACTCTCAACCAGAGGAGCGCTGACCAGAGGGGCGGACTCCTGCAGGACCTTGATCACCTTCACGGAGGATGGGGCGGGACCAGCAACGGGTGGCAGGTAGACGGGTCCGGGAGCGGGTCCATGACCACCGCTGCTGCCGCCAGAGATGACCTTCACCTTGAAGACCTGAGGAGCAGCCTCGTAGCCGTAGCCGCCGCCATAGCTGCCGCCAGCGGAGTATCCTCCCGAGGAGTAGCCACCGGAGTAACCGCCACCCTGCTGGTGGATGACCTTGACGACCTGGACTGGGCCACTGGGACCGTGTCCGCCATGGTAGCCGCCACCGCCGCCGCCCTGGTAGTGGCCGCCTCCGTTGCCACCGCCTCCTCCGTTACCACCGCCGCTCAGGCTGAATCCGCCCTTCAGGTTGGCACCACCGCCGCCGCCGCCGCCACCACCACCGCCGCCTCCGAGGAGACCCAGGAAGCCAGCGTTGGCCACAGCGAACAGAGCACACATGCAAACGAAGACCTGCAAGGAGATGAGACATTTAGAGTTGGAGCATTTTCAGAAGAAGTCCTTCCTAGACTATGATGTAACTAAGGTGGACATTTCTTTAAGGAAAGGTTCTGATGTCTTGTAGGATTGAGGATCTTTATGAACAGAAGTTATGCATCCAGGGTATCAGATTTGGAGAGTTCAGATTGATTTTTAGAAGTTTTGATTGAATTTTGGAATATTTTCACTTTTTTTGTTGATTTTTGTCACTTTTGGTCACTCGAAAAAAAAAATATAAAGGTGGATAGCGAATCCATATCCAAGGATATCTCACCTTCATGCTGACTACAATTCCACTTGGTGAGGTGATACCGATTCCCGGAGATAACGCCTTGAGTGCTGAGATGAGCAGAGACGAGACTGATGTCCGATCGATCGGCGGGCTAGTCTTTTATACGATGTAAGCAGAGCGATTAAGCGATCATGGGCGAACAAAGGCGTTTCATTAAGATTTCCAAACCACCCAAACGCAGACCCATCAGCATAAGCTTTCGATTCATTTTCACTTAGACCATTGGCCAGTGGCCAGTTCGGATCGGGCCAAGATTCGGATGGGGCGGCGCACCTAGCCCATCCGCAGACGAGGTTCTTCTTTTGCGATTTCGGAATTTCGGTTTTTGGTTTCGTTTTCGATTATGCGGTAATGCTGTTTCCAGTTTTCGGTCTTCGACTGGTGCTGCATTTCCGAAATTCCGAAAGAGGCTCCCACAATTAGCATGAAAATGATAAGCCAGCTACAGTGAGAGAAACTAGTGGTGCGAGTGATGGAGCTCGCTGTAGGCCTTTGGAAGAAAATGAAAGTATGATCTGTGTTCTGGTTTCTTTAAAAGAAGGTGGGTGCCTAATGAAGAATGGAAATAGAATCTTAAGAAATGCATTCTCTAGAGTCTGTCTTTAATATTTCTATGAAATACTTGTGATTCCCCTTTTCATCTGCTAGTTAAACCATTTTTTTTTCGCAGTGCTGCTTTCATATTTTCAGTTTTCGTTTTCGTTTTAGTTTTAGTTTTACATAGTTTTAGGTTGGGGGTTTTGTCATTTGCATACACGGGCGGCGGAGAGTTGCCTCACAAGGCGGCCGGCAGTCTGTCATAAAGCAGTGACCCAGCCCATCCCATCGCAATCCAGCCTAATCGAATCAAAACGAATCCAATCCAAGCCAAGCCAGACCAGCGATTTCAAGGTGAGTGGCAGTCGGAATCGAATCTGTTGTCAACCGGCCTGCAGATTCATCTTGGGGCTATGATGATGGCCATCATATAGGCTTGCGCAAGCCAGGCCCATACCACCACACCATGTAAAACCTATTATAATATTATTATTGTTTTGGCCACAAACATTGTAAATTGGCCAACGGGGCGGATGAGCGATGAGAGCTACTCGGGTGGCATGGCGGCATGGGCCCTCCATGGTGTTACTAATTCCGTAGAGTTCAGTTTTCACGGGAAAAGGTCTGCACATGTTTCTTGATCTCTAAATGCAGGCCTAATTAGGCGGTGTCGGAGTCAGTGGGCAGACCGGGCTTGGAGCAACCTGTCCGTGAAACAAGTGTGGGAAATCAAGGGCTTGCATCGGCTCGGTTGCCAAACCTGCATTCCTCTAATCGTGACCATCTTGTCGTGCTTTTTGGGCCTGTGATGCATCTTAATTGGTGCTGCACTCTGGAGAAATTTACAGAAAGTCGTACCATCATCTATTACCCCTCCTAATTGACCTTTACCTTTGGCATTACCTCTTTAACACCTGATCTTTCCGACCTATTAGGAGCTTTGGTTAATGGGAACCACTTGTGATCAATCATACAGACCTTACCTGATCCACCAATAAATCATGTTCGCATTTAGTCGCCCCTCTTGCCTAACCAAATTTTGGCTAGTCCCTGTAGACCGTAACCCCCCATATATCCAGATGACTTGACTTGATTATTTTTTCGTATTATTCGGGTTTTATTTTATACAGAGAGAAAAAAAATGTGGTTCCTTCTAGGGGCAGCATCCTACTTCTGCTTCAGCCAGCCGCCGTAGGCCAGAGGAGACTCGTAGACAGAGCCGTGTCCCAGACCCAGCGAGGACACCACCGGCACGGACTCCACAACGGGCACGGACCGCACCACCGGCACGGAGCGGACGACGGGGACGGAGCGGACCACAGGAACGGAGCGTACCACGGGCACGGAGCGAACGATGGGCACGGAGCGGACCACGGGCACGGAGCGGACCACAGGAACGGCCACTGGGGCGTAGGCGATGCCGGCTCCATGGAGCACGCTGCTCTGGACGAAAGCCACGCAGGCGGCGATCAGGAGGCTGGCGATGAAGAACTGGAAGAGAAGATCATCATTATTTTAAGTGTTTTAACAGCAATGAATTAACATTTTTGGAATATCCCAATGTCTAAATGGATATTAGAAAGGTTTCAAGCATTCTAATGGCTCCAGAATTATATTATTCCATTCTATATTGATGGCTTTATTAATTGAAAATGTTTTTTTTTTATTGGTGATTGTCTGAGACTGAACCACTTGCTTAATTTCAAAGTTCACTCTTCTTTTTAGAATAACACTTTTCAAAACCACAAAAAAAAAAGAATATTGGTGTCATTGATGCTCTGGAAGCTTTATCCTTTTCCGGACCGAACTCACCTTCATTTTTCTGGGGGTGGAGTTGACTTTTTGCGGATCTAGCTGGATTGCCGGATGATTGCTGGGTTGTGATTGAATGATTGGAGTTACGACACCTTATATACCCCCCAGATGAGAACGTCAGAACGCCCGGAGGGGCCTACTCAAAAGTGGAGCAATAAAACTGGCCAGCAGCGTCTAACTGCTGATATTACCAATACCCTCTAGCCAGTTATCGTCATAACTTATTTGAGGCGACGACGCCTTTCAAATTGTCAAAAAGTGCCAAGACAATGAGAACTCGTTCTCCTCCTTTGGGCCAGGTGCCGTGCGTATTCGCCGGCTTCCCAGTTCTGGCCACTTCCTCCGCATCGTTGATGAATTCTTGTGCAAATTGATTGCCACTTCATCGCCGAGGCACAAGCGCAGTGCTTGATAATCTCTAGTATTGTTTTTTCTCCTTTTTTGTATTATTGGCAAAACTTTATTTATGAGGCATTGTCCACGCCCTATTATGCTTTTTGGTCCGACACGTCGGACGGCACCAGGAATGCAAATTTATGCAAAATCCAGCTCAAGCTTCCTCAATGGAGAAAAAACCCAAAAAGCCAATATTAAGACTTGTACATTGTTTAGAAAATAACAAACACTTGTTTGCTTTTGCTTCAGGGTCAACATTTTGTTTTGTTAGTTCGATTTTCTTTTCTTGATAAGATCCATATTTTTATTAATATTTTCTTTTCCAGCCTTACATGTTACGTAGCTTCAAAGTCTTTTGTTTTATGTATATTTATGTAAAGTTTATTGCCATTGTGCTGTTTGTGTTTTCCACAAACTTTCTCTGTTAGGTGAACAAAAGAGCTTGTGTATTTGCGTTATTAACGTGCATTTGCATAAATCAATGAAAAATTCATTGTACTTTAAAGTTGTTGTATAGTATTTAGTGCCAAAAGAACGAGAAACAGCTTTGTTTAATTTTTTCTCTTCATTTGAAATTGCGCGCCCCGTTAAACTATCGATTACTTCCCGCCGATGGCCTTCGGTGGTAAAAACACACTTTCCAGCACTGGAGTGTATGTGTGGAATGTGTTCGTGGGTGTTTTTTTATTTTCCTTTTGGCTACCTCTCTCAGAAAACCATTCCTGAATAAACACGCCAACTAGTATCCATAAAGTTTCCAAGGACCTGGCCAAGCACCTGGCCCGTGCGTACGTCCCGGAAAGTGCACCATGTCTAGACGGCAAAGCGGGAAAGCCACCGATACAAGGAAAAACCATAACACCAGAAGCAGCAACAACAACATGGCGCACCTGCAACAGCAGCAGAAGAAGAAGCAGCAGCAGAGGTCTTGATGTTGACGTCAACAAAGTGAAATCCGAGCTGAGAGCCACTATAAACAATAAGCAGAAACGAGCGGGAAGGCTAGCCAGCGAAACCTACTGCCCTACTGACTCAATTACACCCGATCCTCAATATCGGGAAACCCGATCCCCGTTAGAATGTACTCGGAGTGGGCCTCGTTGTCGGCCCAAATCACGGCCAATAGCTGTGGGGCCCAGTGCTTCAGTGTTCTGAACAAGTTCCCCGCCTCCGCAGGACGCGAAGTGGTCGTGTCCGTGGTGAAGCAACTCGGCACCAACCTAGGCATCACCCAGAACGCCGAGCCCAGCCACCTGGTCAAAGATGAAGAAGTAAGAGAGATACCTTTAGTGACACCTGTAGGATTTTCGTTAATGCTTTGGTCTTTCAGGTCAAGTGGTGCATGGACGTCATCTGCTTTGGCCTGTCCCTGCCCCTGCAGGAGCACGAGACCATCAAGGACTGCGTGAACGTTTACTGCGAGTGGCTGACTGCCCTGCACCCCCAGCCGCGGATCAGCGTCCCGAAGCCCATTTGTGAGGACGCCAATCTGTATGCTCGGCAGATCATCAATCATTTCCACAACCTCTTCGTGCCCCGGCAGGGCGAGAGTAAGTATATAGTCCTTCGAAAAGCCCATCCCATCTGACAAAACACTCTGCTGACCAAAAACCTTAAACTAAATTTCAAGTCTTGCCATTTCTTTACCAAACCACGCTTGGTAGGTTGCTCGAATCGATTGTCCTCCGCCCGAAACTGAATTCCAACTAATCTCTGTTTTCTATTCGCCTTCCGCCAGGTGCCGACACCATCAAGCGCCAGGCTGTGCTATGCCATCGGGTGCTCAGAACGCTGCAGCAAACGGCTCAAATATCGCAGGTGATGGACCGCCAGACGTGGGAGACCCTGCTCCTCTTCCTGCTGGCCATCAACGAGATATTGCTGGCCCCGCCCACCGTCAAGGACGACGTGGGCGACCAGCTGTGCGAGCGGGTGCTGTCCGTTCTGTTCGAGGTGTGGCTGCTGGCCTGCGTTCGCAGCTTTCCCTCGCCCTCGATGTGGAAGACCCTGCAGGAGTCGTGCGCCATGTGGCGGCATCGAGTGGCCCTGGTTGATCAGTGGAACCGCGTGAATCTCGCCCTTACGGCCCGCCTGCTGGAGTTCTGCTACGGCCCAGCCTTTCCCCAACTCAAAAATGGTAAGAGGAACTGTCTTAGGTGCCTAGCTTTCGAATAAACTAACCCTTCTGAATCCTCCCCAGCCGACGAAGACGGCCAGCTCATCCCAGCGGGCATGTCCAATGACTGCGTGGCCCAGACCTGGTACCGCTTCCTGCGCATGATCGGCAATCCCACGGCGCTCTGTTCGCCGCACATCATCAGCAAGTCTTCACACTTTGTCCAGTGGGCGCTGACCCACGAGAAGGGCGCCGAGACGCATCAGCATCCCTGCCTGCAGCAGCTGCCCCAGATCTTTCTCAACGCCATGAAGGGGATATCCAGCCAAGTGGACGCATTTCTGGGTAAGATCTCCGAGGCAGATGCGAACCGGTGTTGGATATTTAGCTGAAAACGCACGGTACTGTTAGGCGCTGTTTCCACTCCAAGCCTATCGAGTACCGCGCCGTAAAAGTCCCGGCCAGGCCGACTTTCTCTTAGCCAGCGTTTAGGCCTAGACTCGTGTTAGGCTAGCCCCAGTACTGCTCCATACTATATCTTACTCTCGTTGGTCTCCCGCTTTGCTAACCTCTGAATATCGATATCGAAATTGTATCTAAAATACGTAACCCGAAATGCGGCTAAAAACAAACGCGAGATCAGGCATCTACCAGCCGCCGCCGCAGCAACACGAGGGCGTGGTCACCAACCTACTGGAGATCCGGCACTCGCTGAACGAGGCCACCTCCTCCACCCTGCAGCAGTTCATCCACTCCAGCAGCGCCACCAACATCGCGAATCCGCCGACGCAGCATCACCACCATCACCTTCACTATCCGCACTTGCATTTGCACGGCGCCGGCAGCTTTCTGCGCGACAATTTCATGAGCAGCTCAGCCAGCTCCGCCCTGAACGCGATCATGGGCCACCACGGGCACGGCCACGCCCACGGCCACCACGGACATGGCCAGCACCAGAATCTCCAGATCAGTGCCTCGCCCACTGGCAGCCTGGCCACGACTGCCTCCGCCGTGGGCAGCACCAGTGCCGGCGGCAGCCACTCCGCCGGCGTGGTGGGCAGCATCTCGTTCGGCACTCCGGAAGCGGTGGTCCCTGCCTCCTCGGCCTCTGCCACGCCCACGCCGCCCCTGCAGCGACGACTGGCGAAGAGCTTCAGCGTGACTCCGACCATCACACAGCAGAAGGGTGCGACTTTTTGCCTGATTCTCAGTTTGGAATACCACCGAATGTTTTACTCTATGTTGTCACCTCTCAAGACGTACTCTGGCAGGATGGGGGTAGTCCGTAGGGGATTTGATCCCCTCGGATCCAGGAAACCCTCTTCCGAATAAAGAGAGTCTATAAGACCTTATCCTTCCTGAACTCACCTGCCAGGGTACGCAGGACTTCGGAGACCCGAAGCCAATCCATTTTGTTTGTTGTAGCTGTAGCTTGCTTGTGGTTCTAACCAGCTCGGTAGATCCAGCACTTATCCAGATCTTGGCCACCTCACGAGTTTCCTCCGTCATTTAATGCTAGCTGGCACATTTTTTCGCTGTACTTTTTCATTTTTTTTTCCTTTTGCATAATTTGTTCCGAGGCATGAGTGGAATTATCTCGGAGTAATTGCCCGCCGACACTGAGTAACTGTTCCGCACGCTGGCGGGGATTACGAGTGTGCGATTGTATGCATTGTAATTAGCTGATGTACGCCCACAATTGTTGCATGTTCCGCTCTGTTCTGTTCCCTTTGTATCTGTGTATCTGTGCCGCTCACTAATTTCTCACACTTGCTCCCGCCCCGCTCCCTGCTCCCTGCTCCACGGCTTCGCCTCCCCGCATCATCGCTTGGATATCAGGCTTGAGCAAGACCTCGCTTATCGGCCTCACGGGCGGCGGTGCACGCAACGCGATCAGCAGCAGCACCACCACCATTGCCACCTCCGGCTCCACCTCTGCCGCCGCCGTTCCCGCCTCCGCCGCCAGCTCCATCGCTGCCGTCTCCAGCTCCGCCTCCGCCACCGCCGTCTCCGCTGCTGGTGGAGCCGCAGGCGCAGGAGCGGGCATCCCTACCGGCTCGGTCAGCGTTCCTGGCTCGGGCGGCGGGTCAGCTCCTGCTCCGGCGCCCACAACTCCCACGTCGACGTCGGGTCCGCCATCGGCCAGCAGCAGCATCACCTGTAAGTGCACTTAGCGAAGAACCAGAGGGGTAACCAGAGGTCTTAATCAGCCAGATCGTAGAGCTAATTCTAAATTCTAATTTTAAATATTTGTTTTAAAAACTCGAAACAAAAACTACTAACGACTGGCTGTAAATTAAGGTCTCAATTACCCTTCGAATGCAATTATTTGTGGCCGTAATTTTGTCGAGTGTGAGTGTGAGCTTCTGCCGCGCCGCAAAAAGCAAACTAACTATCTAACAGATGCCATAAGTATCTAACCCGCCCTCTGTTTCCACCGCCCCTCACCGTCCCTCTCTCTCTCTTTCTCACGCGCCCAATCGCTCGCTCTCTCTCCCTCCTCCGGCCCGATCCGATCCACCTACAGCGCTGCCGCTGACTTCAATGGGAGCGGGAACCGAGCTCGCCGTGGCCAGGCCCAAGTGCAACAGCATTCTCCACGTATTCCACGAGTGGCTCTTCGAGGCGGCGCACATTGGCGGCGACACTTGGCGGCAGAACCGGAAGAGTAAGTAGTCCCAACAGACAGGTCATCGAGTCGCATCTAACGGTCGCATCCTCCCACCAAACAGAACAGGCCTGCGAGGCCAGTAAGCGACCCTCGTCCATGATCATGGAGCACCGCAAGGGATCCATTTCGCTCTCGCAGCCCAACTCCCTGAACGATCCGCAGTCCCTGCCCCCCACCCTGACCATCGACAAGTACGAGTCGGGGCGGGCCGAGGCCATCGGGACGCTGTGCAAGATCTTTTGCGCCAAGAAGACCGGCGAGGAGATCCTGCCCGTGTACCTGGCCCGATTCTACATGGCCCTGCAGCAGTGCCTGAAGATCACCGAGTCGCGGGAGTGCGACGAGACCCTGGCCAGCATCCTGCTGCACTCCAGCGACCTCTTCCGGCTGGACCTGGACGGCATCAATGTCCTGCTGCCCGGGTTCATAGCCGCCCTCGAGATCGTGCTGCCCGACAAGGACCTGAAGCTGAAGACGCAGTCGCTGACCTTCAATCGCACCGAGCTGCGGAGATCCGCCATCAACATACTCCTCTCCATCATGGTCCTGCCCCTGCACTACCAGAGCCTGCCCATCAGGGACCTGACCAGCGAAACCAGCGAGAAGTGAGTCCTCGTATGCCATTTTTCACTGATTCTATATATTTGTTCGATTCCACAGGATAATCACGTTCATCCAGCTGAAATCGCGGCTCATGAACATCCTGATGAATGCCCTCCAAGTGGAAACGGATGCCCAGAACACGCACATGCTCTTGGGAGGCCTCCTGCTCTGTGTCCAGGACGCGGTTACCTTCGAGGAGACGGAGCTCGGTGGAGGTAACGCCTCCACGGCGCACCTCTCGCACAACTCCAGCGGGGGGGCCGTGCAGCACCACGAGGCCAACTTGCTGAGCTCAGGTATGGCGACTGGCTCCCTTGGCCCGGTGATTTCACCTCGCCCATACCCCTGATTTGTTTACATTTTTATTTTTTAATTACTTTCGTTTTTTTCCGCGCTCTTGTTGTGTGCATGTGTGGGCACTGGTTGGCTCTGTTTTTGCGGCACCAGCCTGCTCGGAGCGTTCCGCTTCGCTGGTCAGCGCCGGCACCGCCAGCTTGGGCGGCCAGACGACGGCCACCATGGGGGCGGGATCGGGCTCCATACGGGACACCGCCTCCGGCCACGACTACCCCAGCCTGACCATATCCGATGACATGTCATTCGAGTTCGGTCAGGAGCTGGAGGGAGTGCTTCCATATGGTAAACGGATTTTAATTTTGTTTTTTGTGTTAAGGTTTTGCATTTTTGAGACGAGATATTTTTGAATTGCCTGCTCATCTCCCAAGCGGCAACCAAGATTAGTCCATCGAGCCAATGAAACCGATTTCTATAGGAGATTAGTTCGATTCTAATGCTGTTCCCTGCTTTCAGACAACGCCCACGCCCTGTTTGTGCGGGCCACCTACTTGGTGTGCCACCGCCTGATATCCTCGTGGAAGACCGACCTGAACGTGTCCCTGGCGGCCTTGGAGCTGCTCTCCGGGCTGGCCAGACTGCATATCCGGGAGACAGGTAAGGGATCAAGTGCCTCAGCTTGCATGTGTTTCATTGTATGTGATGCAGTGTGAGCTCCCGCAAGGACAGAGTTCCATCTGGTTTGGGGCTGACTCTACAAGCGATAGTCTATAGCCTCCAGGAGTTCCTTGCAGGAGTTGCTCTGCAAAGCTTCGGATGCTCCCCGAGGCTGGATTTGCTTTTCTGACTTTAATGCCTGTTTGTTTTCTGTCCTCTTCTGTTTTGTTTGATTGTTTCCCCCACGTGTGTGTATATTTTGAACCCAAACCCCCACTGTTGTGTACCCCAACCCACTTAACCCCACAAACCCCACAAATCCCGAACCTTAACCCCAAAACATAACTGTTGAATGCTTTCTGTGCGGCAGCCAGGAAATTTACAAATGGTAATTGATTGATGAAAGCAACTAACCTAACTAACGCCACTTTCTTCTGTCTTTCTTTCTTTCTTTTTTTTGATGCGTTTCTTTTTTCTAACCGCCATCGAACCTCCGTCACCACCAACTACCATGTACCAACTACCATGTACCATCTACCATCTCCAATGCACCACCACCAAATCCTCCATCCGCCATTCGCCCATCTCATGAACTCATCCAACAATTGACGATTGCGATTTGTTTGTGTATATATCTTTGATTTGCAACAACCAACCAACAAAACCACACAAAACTGACAACTATTAAACCACCAATTAAATAACCCACTTGCCACTCCACCCGAATACCAATGTAAATAACCACAACATAACACCAAACCAAACTAAACCACCAACGTAGACACTTTAGTGAAAATATACGAAGCTAGTCAGAATCTAACGATAATCTCCTCAGACGCTCTAGAGTGCAAGCGGGCCGTTAAGTGGATCTGCGACTACATCTGCTACCAGTGCTCCCGGCCGCCACCGGCCCACAGCAAGGACCTGCACAGCACCATTGTGGCCGCGTTCCAGTGCACCGCCGCCTGGCTGATGCAGCACCCCTACCTGCTCCAGGACAAGGACTGCCTGCAGACGGTCCTGGAGGTGGTGGAACTTGGCATATCCGGCACCAAAAGCCAGACCAAGGGCGGCGACATACCCAAGTTCAAGGACGAGAAGGAGCTGAAGCCGGCCTCGATGCGGGTAAGAGACGCGGCCGAGAACCTGCTGACCATCATCCTCGAGCAGGTCGGCTACTTCCCCAGCGAGTGCGGCCCCGAATCGATATCCTCGCTCCTGGACGAGGTGGCCCTCATGAAGCACTGCAACTCCATGGCCCCGGCCACGTCCAGCAGCGAACAGGCCATCGCCAAGTTCAAGTACTTTGTCACGGAGAACTCCACGATCCTGGCTCTCCTGGAGGAGCCGCTCGGCAACGACCAGGACCCCCAGCCCACAGTGACTTGTATGTAGTTTCCTGAACTCGCCCAATTATTTTGTAACATCCGTTTCCCCCGACCAGTACTCATCCGAGGCCCGTTCGGACGACATGCCTGGACCATGCAACTGCGGCACCTGCCGCGCAGCAAGTCCGGCATCAAGTACCACGCCATCAACCCCGGCAGACCCATCCCGATGAACGACATTAGCCAGCGGCCGGAGTGCGAGCAGAAGAACTTCCCCGATGGCGTCGACAAGGTGCAGCCCTGTGTGGCGGACTACTCCATACCCACCATCGAGCAGATGCGCGAGCAGTATGGAGCAGGGACGATCCGGGACCTGGAGGCCATGATGGAGAACCAGAGCATCCACGAGAAGCTGGCCTGGGCGGAGGCGGACACGAGCGCCGACAGCCTGTCACATGCCCAGGAGTGTGTCCCGCCGGCTGTGTGCCACGAGTTCCATGCGGCGCGCCTCTTCCTCTCGCACTTTGGCTTTCTCGGCTTCGAGACCCGGAATCCCCACAATCCGGCCGAGTCGCTGGGTACTCCGCCGCAGAGGCCGCTCATCGTGCTGGACACCAAGTCGACGGCCTTTGCCGCGGACCTGGACAGACTGGACAAGCTGAGCGCCAGGACCCACGACACCGTCTACGTCTTCTACGTAAAGGTAAGACATTTGGATGAAGAAGTCCTAAGGAAAGTGCCAACCTCGAGTGACTTTGTTTTCAGTCGGGACAAACGAGTGCACAGCAGATCATCGGGAACCTCACCGAGGAGCAGCAGTCGCCAGGTCTGGATCCACACTTTGCCACAATGCTGCAGACTCTAGGATGGCCGGTTCAGGTGGCGGATCACTCGGGCTGGACGGGATTCGCCCACAACTCCTGGTCCCTCAAGGGCACGCCCGAGGAGCAACTGCGAACAGGATCAGTCTCCAACGATCCCCTGAACTTTAATGGCTCCCAAAAGGTGCTCTACTGGGCAGAC